TTACCAACCAAACCCGTACGCTATCTCTCGCTTGTATCCCCTCCCCCCCCCCCCCCCCCCCCCCGGGCAAGACATAGATGGCGACAGTTACAGTTGCGTTTGACACGAGGTGACTACGCATGACTAGCGGGGTGCGGCTTGGGTTAGGCGTCGCTGTGGATATTGCCATCGGATGTGGCGACAAGCGACTTGGCCCGCTTGGTCGGCGGGCGCTGGACACGGGCGGCGGCGAGGGCATCGCCGGCGGCGGCATCGAGCTGGTCCTGCAGCCGCGACTGGAGCGTGTTGAATCGCGAGGCCGTGTTGGCCAACTCGGGGCGGGCGCCCGGATCGGCGAGCGGCGACGGCGAGATGGGCATGGCGGCGGAGGCCGACGACGAGCCGGCATCCGCGGCAACGCTCCCGGCGCCGGCGCCAGAGTTCTCGTCGCTCGAGTCCGATCCCGACGGCCGGCGGCGGCGCTTGGCTCCGACGTGCGGTACAAACGGAGAGCGCGTTGCCGCGCGCTCGCCCGGCGGCGGCGCCGTAGCCCGGACGGGCGAGGTCGCCGCTGACGAGCTGGCCATAAACTGGGCCATGGAGAGGAGCTCCTGCTCCTCGGCGGTCATTGGTGCCGCGACGCCGCGCGCACGCTCGCCGACCGCCAGCGGCGTGAGCGGCGCAAACGGGCCTCGCCGCGCCTGCGGCACAACCTGGACCGTCGCCGCCTGCGGGACAAACGACTCAGAAAAGGTGCCCAGCGGGAGCGGGCACGGCGGCACTGGCGACGTCGTCTTGGACTGCGGCGCAGAGTGCGGTGGCGTCGACGTGTAGATGGTGGCCAACTGCGCCGCGGCGTCCTCATCGTCAGCCGTGAGGGCAATACCGCGCTCCAGGGCGCCTGTCCGGCTCCGCGGCCACCGCCGCGACGGCGATGGTGATCCGCCACGCGCCATTCGCGCACCCTTGTTGGCCGGCGTGATAGCATTCAGGGCAGAGACGGCAGAGTCCAGCCGCGACGACGTCCGCGCACGCGCTGTGCCCGGCGAAATCATCGAGCCCGCCTTGCTCCGCCCGCGCCGTGACTGCGGCGTCTGCGGCGCCTTCTTGGCCCGCCGCCCGCCTGACGGCGAGCCCTCGGCGCCGTTCACCCGCCGCTTGAGTGTTGAGTTCCAGTGGTTCTTGATAGCGTTGTCCGGCCGCCCTTTGAGCAGCTTGGCAATCGCCGCCCACTTGTTGCCCAGTCGCGCGTGCGCCTCGATGATGATCTCATCCTCCTTGGCCGTCCACGGCTCCTTAGAGATCGACGGATCCAGATGGTTGTGCCACCGCTCACGGCACTGCTTGCCCACCCGGCCCTCCAGCCGCTCAGCAATGACCGTGTTCCACTTGCGCGGCCCGTGCTTGGCCACCATTTCTATGATAATCGCATCCTCCTGTGAACCCATCCACGTCACGTCCGCGCCCGAAATGCAGCATACTGTGAGTACACACATCACCCATCCCCCCTCCTCCATCCCCCTCCCCTCTCTTCGGCCGCACCACCGCACCAGAATCTTCATCATCTGCAGTGAAAAATCCCGCCCCTCCTCCGTTGACTGGCGGGTGTGACGCCGGGCAGCGAGGCAATGGCAAAAAAGAGCGGGAATGTCCCTTGATGACTGGTTCCCGCAAAGAAACATAGAAACAAACGGTGACCTCGGTGCGTGTACCGCTCTAACAGAGCGCCTACCGGCTACTTTGCCACCAAAATGACATCAAGAGGTGCAGCGAAATACGCGCTACATGCTCATGGCAAGCGTGTGTTGCGCATTGTCATATATATCCTGTTGTTGCCCATGGAAGCGTGCGTGGGTGTCGGCGAAACTCGCGGAACACTCCACAGCGTCGCCTCTTTCCGGCCACCAACCGCCTCCTGCTCTGCCCCAGGCGGGCTAGCATAAGCATGGAGTCGAAAGAGACCACCAAACTTGGCAAGGAGCAATGTGACTACCGCTTCTACTTGCATGAAAAACGGGGCGTTTCTGGGGGAAGTCCTGCGTCCGGGCGCTACTCCCGCAAACTGCCGTGTGCAAGTGGCCAAGGATGGAGGCCAGCCGACGGCCGGTACATTGCCTTTGCGGTTCCCGCGGCCGTTCAGGAGCAGGACTACCACCACAACAACCAAACTTGGCTAGTACCTACCACCATGGAAGGGGAAGGCCTGCATGTGGTTTGTGGACAAAAATATGCATGTAGTACAGGAGTACCGCCCACAAGCCATCCCCGCTTGTGTCGCTCTGATGGACACCTCGGTCACGTCACTCACACGCAGGCTACGGGGGCGCCGCTGTAGATGGGTATAGCAGAGATGTAGAAGAGGGACCAAGGCGGGATGTGGTGCAAAACAAGCTAAACTACCACAAGAACATACCTCTGCCGTCCATCGGCCCTTTATCTTGGCCTTGGCTGTCTTGGTTGTCTTGGGCATGGTTATTGCCGGGTCCGGAACGGACTTTTGCTGTGGCAACCAAGGTGAGTTGAGTGTCTCTCGGTCTCGCTTCCGACTGCTCTACCACGTACACAACCGAGTTGGCTGACCGATGGCAGAAATGGACGCGGGCCAGGCGTACCCCACGGCTACGCATTTGGACGCGCGGCTGGAGAGCAATGCCCCGGCCTGTGTTCGCGGCGCGATCGGCGAGTACCTTGCTACGCCACACCTCTTAAAGCATTTCGTCCCTGGAGTGGGTGGGCCTCCTCAACTCGCAGGGTCCGCAGTCGTGGCACCCGCTCCACGGCCAGCCGCGCTACCAAGCTGCGATCTCGGCTGCCTTGCTAAGGCCGAGCTTTCGGTCAGCCGTGTACCGTCTCGATCTCATTGCTATCGCATGCGCTCGCCATCAGGCTGTATTCTGTTGCAGGTTGGGCGATTTGGGGCTATATATTTGCCATTGGTCGTCAGGAGCACCCGGGCGATGTGGATACTGTGTCATCGGGACCTTAAAGTGCTGGGCGTGCTTACGTTGGGTACCGAGGCGACTAGATGCAGACGCCGCAAAGAGTGCGACGTCGCCGAAACGAGGCACAACGCCACAGTTCGGCTCGCCATCTCAGGCCTGGCTTTCACCCGCATCCGCATCCACATCTGTATCAGCATCAGCGTCAGGAGTAGCATTGCGGGCGGCGTCGGAGGCGCTGTTCGCACTGTCGTCGTCCGAGTTGTCGTCGTCAACAACACGCTCGAGCACAAGGGCGAGGAGCGAGCCTTCGGCGTCGTCGGCAAAGAGCGAGCTCAGGTCGGCGGCGACAACGAGCGGGACGGCGCTCTCGACGAGATATGCATCGAGCTCGGACCGAGAGACTGCGATGGTGACAAGGACAAAGTAGCCACCAACAACCAGCCGCTCGGCCACGCCCCACAGGTAGGCGTTGGCCAGGTTGCCTGTGTCCTCAGGCATGAGTGGCAGCTTCTCGCGATCACGGGTCGACTCTGTGGCATCGTCGTCCGAGTCGACGACGCGGTCCTCCATGACCAGACAATCGAGCGAGCCTTTGTCGATGACGACGTGAAAGGCGGCCGGAGCCATGCCCGACTCGGTCAGGTCGTCGTCGACAAAGATGAGCTCGGGCCTGGCCGAGCGCGCAGCGTCGTCGAGATCAGCCTCGAGCCGCGCACGCAGGACCTTTGCAACGTTGATGGCCGGACGCGAGCGATCAGCACCGACGATCTCCGCAATGCCTAGCTCGCTGCCCATGGCGGCGAGGACAAGGGCGAGATGCCCGTTCCCGCAGCCTGCCTCCAGGAGGCGCAGTTCGCCGCGGGCGGCGACGTCAGCGATGCGAGGCAGATGCTCCTCAGCATGGGCCAAGAGCGAGACAATGAGCGCCACAGGTTCGCTCCCGTACCACACATACACTTCGTTGAGTAGAGCAGCCAGACCGAGCTCACCGCTCCCAGCCCCGCCCTCCACACGCGCCAACTCGGTAGTGTACACGGCGTCCCAATACGCCGCCGTCGTGCCCTGCGCCGCAAGCGCCATGCTCAGCCCATGGAACGGGTGGAGCTCCGCGTCACCACTCCGCAACATGTGTGTGTATGTATGTGTATGTATGTGTGTATGTATGTGTGTGTGTGAGTGTGAGGTGTGTGTGCGTGTGTCGGACAGGGGGATGTGGGGCGGTGGCCATGGAGGGGTCCCGGTCCGGGTCCAGCTGCCACGGCTGGGTCGACAGATCGGATGTAAAGGTTGTGGGCGAGGTGGGGTGGGTCGGATATGCATTGCTACTGGGTTTGCTCTCGACGGACTACAGGCGGATGACGCGGCCTGCGATCGAGACGGGAGCTGATGGCGGTCGACTGGGGGGAGCGGAATGGAGCATCGCTAGCGCCTAGCTCGCGAACTAGGGCGGCAGCGCCGGTGCCGGCAAAGGAAATAGAGAACCGCCGCCGCTTACCGCCTGACGACAGAGGTGGCACCGGCGGAGAGACCGCACCTGGCGGGAGCGAGCGCAACCGATGCCCAACTGATGGGGATGATGTAGGCGGGGGAGGTCGGCGGTCGGCGGCGCCGGCGCTGGTCACCGACTCGTCCGGATTTGGGTCCGGCTCGCCCACCGAAGCCAGGTCCTCGTCAAAGAGCGCGCCATCGTTGCCAAACATGTCTGCAAACGACGGTATCTCAACAAAGGCGGCAACTTCGTCGCCATCGACCGAGCTCAGCCACGACGACTCGGGCTCGGGCGGTGACCGCCGGCGCGCCGTCGAGGGACTCGACGACGGCGCCACCCGTGCCTCCGCCAGCCGCCTTTGATTCTTTCGCGCCAGATCGAGCGTCTCCTGCAGCGAGGTGTTGACTCTCGTGGTTTGCTCAGTCAACTCATCCAGAAGCTCGTCCTCAGCGACAAGAGCTTCCAGCGCCGGGTTGCGCGCCGGCGGCTGCGGGGGGTGGGCAGCATCGCGTGCGTAAGCTGCCAGCCGCCGCTCCGCCAGGTCCAGCTCGGCCGCCAGAGCCCGGACTCTGCGACCGAGCTTCTCCGCCGCTGACTTGCGAGCGGTGTTCTCGGCTACAAGCTCGGCTCCGACCCGCTCCCACAGCCGAACGTGCATCTCGAGTTGCATCGGGTTGAGCTTGTGATCAAACGGCAGCTTCCCCGGAACTCGCAGGCGACGGGCGGCCTCACGGGCGACAGAGCCAGACAGCGCTGAAGACGTCAGACTTGATGATGGTGAGTCACCCATGCGGACTACGTACACGGAGCTTATGGCGCCCGCAATGGGATCGTCCACCCGCAGCGCGTCAGCATTGACTGTCAGGCTGCCATCGCCCAGGACACGGAGGCCACCTACAGCATCCAGCGAGTCGCGGAGGCCGCGCAGACGAGCCAGCTCGTTGGCAGCATGGACCAACTCTCTCCGATACACCCCGTTGCGGCGCTCCAGCTCGTTGATCCGTGCATCTGCATCGGAGCCAGAAACATGGCCTTTGCCGCCTTTGTCTGTTGCCGCTGTCCCGTCCGCGCTGCTCTCCGCCAGCTTTGCCAGAGCCTCGGACTGGGCCAGCGCAACCACTCGCAGCCGCTCGTTGGTCGCTTCCGCCTCGGCCAGTGCCGCCTTCAGCCCTGCTACCTCCTCGGCCTCTGTCTCCATGGCCGTGAGCGAGGTGGCCGCTCTCCCGCCCGTCTCCCAGCGGGTGTCTCAGTCAGTTGTGATGCAAAGCTTTGAGCCGTGCTCTTTTTGGTTGGCACATATTGATCAGAGGACGGGAGAGGGGATGGAAGGAGCAGCGGAGGGAATACATGATGCGATGAGGAAGAGTATGAGGGGTGGAGATGGGGATGGAGGAGGTGTGGCGGAGCGGGGAGAAGGGTGGAAGAGTGGGTGGCAGGGTGTGGATTTCCCCTGATAATATTTGGGTGGCGGAAGAGCAGAACAATGATGTCTGGACGTGTTTGAGGCTTTGGAGAGAAGATGGTGCGCTGGTACAGCTTCTACATGCATTTAGGTATACATCAGCGATACTATATATACATTGTGTGTGATCGTGGGAGTGTGTGTGTGTTCCTCCAGGCGAATGCTCCACATGACAACCGTTCTCCCCACATGCTGGCCTCCGAACATTTTTTTGACGAAGGAAAACAAGGCATGACTGAAGCGATCGAGAAAGTGGGGATTTTCCAGTCAGTGATGGAAGTGACGGTACGGGAGGGAGATTGTAGGAGATGTAAGAGGCTACTCTCATTGAAGAAGCCATCAAAGTTCAAGGATCTTGGAATAGAGCAGGAGATGTAGGACGAAGACGACAGAGTAGCCGGGAGGGGGGGGATTGGTAAAAAAAATGACAATGTTCGCTGTCGGTCCCCCCACCCCCGCAACCGCAAGACCCGCACCGGGACCAGGCCCTACCACCGTACGCCTAGCTGCCCCCTTGGCGCTACACCACGCCACGCCACACCACTCCACTTAGCGCAAACACCTTGTCATGTACCCGCAGGTGGTACATGCGCTCCGGGACGCCGAGCGGAAGGCGTTGGCGACGGTCAGCTCGATGGAGGCAGACGTGGCGCTGCTGCAGGCGGCCGAGGCCGACGACCTGGCGGCGGTGGACTCGGTGGCTGGCGACGTGCGTAAGGCGCTCGAGGCGGCGCGGGCAGAGCTGTTGCAGGCGCATGCCCTGCTGCGCAAAGGACGGGATCAGCTTGGGGAGACGGCCATGGCCCATGAGGAATCGCTCCGCCTGTTGGCTGGAAAGGTCGACCACGCGTATGCACGCGGCGCTGCCGTGGCTGACGCTCTCGACGGGCTCTGGCAGCATGCCGACGTGACAGGCAAGGCGCAGCTGCCTGAGGCACATGGTACACAGGATGCGCAAGCGCAGACCTCGTCGTCGGATGCGGATGACGGATCGGTGGCGGGTGGCGCGTCGATGCGCGACATCGACCACAAGCACATCGAGAACGAGGCCCGTGACGTCGTGGCCCGTCTCATGGCTTCGTTCTCACCGCTGGTTGACGGCTATGCGTCGCATCCAGAAGATTGGGCTGCGCTCTCGGAGTCTGAGAAAGATGAGGTCGAGCGCATGGCTGCGCGTGTCCGGTCGCTACTTGCAGACGTCGGGAGCGTCGCCCGGCAGCGCGGGGTCGAGCTCGCTTCGCGCAATGTGGTGAGCGGCAAGGCTGCCGAGCTGCGGGCGCAAGCGCTTGACGTGCTGCATCATGTGCGAGTCGAGCTGATGGCGCTCGAGCTTGCCCCGTTTATCCGGCTCCTGCGGCGGTCACCATCACGGGCGCCAAGCCCGCCTCGCCACCGCTCACCGTCGTTTGATGCAGGCTCGACCATCGGCAAGGACGACGGTGATCACCGAAGCGGCTCAGCCAGCGGTGCTGGCAACAGTTCGAGCGCAGGCATGCTAGACGACTCGTCGTTTGTGCGTATCGAGGACAATAAGGCCCCGCTGCGGCCCGGGCACGAGCGGTTTGCCTCGGCACGCATCGCCGCTTCGCTTCCGTTCTCGTTCTACGTTGTCGAGCCGGTGCCCGTGGTGGGCGCCGAGGCCGGCGACGCTCAGTCGGACAACGAGTGGGAGGCCGGTGGCGACGGCGGTGGTGGTGGTGGCGGCGGCGGGTCAAGCTCGTACTACTCGACTGACGGCCCGTCGTCGCAACGGCTGTGGGAGGTGGCGGGTGACGATGTGCCTGTTGGCGGGCTCTACGACGAGTACAAGAAGTTTGCCAAGTGGAAGCGGGCGCGGGCGGCCGGCAAGATCGAGTCTGACGGCGGCGGCGAGCTTTCAGCCTCGTTCTACTCGTCCGAGTACTCGGAGCAGACCGTCGAGTACGATGTCGAGTACTACGAGTACGAGCTTGCGCCCGAGACGATCTCTGTGGCGCTTGGGGCTGATCACGGCTCGCCATTCCCCGGCGCGGACCGTGAGCCGGCGCCGCAGGTGGCCCGATCCGAGATGGAGACCCAGACGTCTGCGCCGGACGTTCGCGTGCCGGATGTCAGCTCGATCGCGTCGCGCTCGTTTCTCCGCGAAGTGCCGTCGTACTTTGAGCCCTCGGAGCCAATGCGAAGCATGCAGGCCTCACACATTGCACCATCGATGCAGAGCTCGCTGCTGAGTTCTGGAGGAGGCACACTCGAGCCGCTCGACGCCTCGCTGCCGCCACTTTCGCTGCAGACCGATGACGGCTCAGGCTCGGACTCGGGCTACTCTTCGGACACGGTGATTGCTGAGCCGTTTGCGCCGGTGAGTAAGGACAAGGTGCCACGACTGGAGCGGTCGCGACTGGAGCGACAGTCCAAGAGCAAGAAGAAGAAGAAGAAGAAGAAGAAGAAGAAGAAGAAGCGCAAGGGTAAGGGCAAGGGCTCTGAACCGGTCGTCCCGCATTTTATGGCGGACAAGGCCGGATGGGCCAAGCCGTCGCCGTTCCGGATTCTCACGCTCATGGCCATGGCGCCGCTCATGCCCTCGCTTGCGCTCTTTCTTCTCCAGCCGGACGAGCGCGACATCTCGGACATCGCTCATGGCATCGCGATCGACGAGGTGCGCGACTTGCCGCGGCCGCGGTACTTTCCGGCTCCAGCGCGAGCTGAGGGCGAGGCTGAGGCTTCGGTGAACGGCGGGGCGCGGTTCACGCCACCGCCGCCGCCACCTGCGCCATCACGGGGCGCAGCGTCGGCATCTGGCACACGCTAGGAGGCGAGCTTGGCCTCGCCATCGACGTAGGCAACGACGTGGGCCTTGATGGCCTCGAGCTCGCGCTGGAGGCGGCCAAAGTAGGCGTAGAGCGACTTGCGGACGTCTGTACGGACGTTGGCGAGCTCCTGGATGAGCTCGATGGCCTCGGGCTCATCGACGCGCTCGCCGAGGCTCTTAAAGAGGGCGGTGTTGGCAGAAAGGTCCGCGTCGATGGCGCGATACTTGGCGTAGAGCTCGTTGAACAGATTCTTGTAGCGGCGATACTGCGGCCGGTCGGTGATGGGCGGGTACTGCTGCTCGTCGGCGGCGATGGCGTCGGCCGGCGGTAGCTTGCCCAGCACCAGCATGGTCTGTGCCGAGGGAAACGGGGCGACGGTGATGCCGAGCTTGGAGGCAAGCTCGTCGATGCGCGAGACAAAGGCGAGCGAGCGGGCGGCGTGCGCGGTGGGAGTGAGGAGCGGCGGCGGGTTCGACGCCGAAGGCACTGGCGAGAGCGTTGTCCGGCGAGTCGACGGGAGGACCGGGCGGATGCCAGCGGCAGCCCGCGACGGCGAGCGATTATTGGCGTCGACAATGGCGTCGACGTCGACCGGTCCGCCTGCGGCGGTGCCGACGCTTGATGAGAGCACATAGTGTGAGGGCGACTTGGGATGCGGCGACGCAATCTCGCTTAGGATGGAGACAAGGACCTTGGCCTGCGTTGGCGTCACGTCCAGCTGCGACTTGAGCTTGGAAAGCGTCATCGGCTTGGCCATTAGCAAGCGGATGACCTCTTCGCGAAGGTGTGGGCGGGTGCCGGCGAGCCCGGTGGTGCGGCCCGAGAGCCCGCGCGCACGCTTGGCGGCGCGACCGCCATACCGGGCGGCGAGCGCCGCGCGTTCTACAGCCACGGCCGAGCGACTACCGCGCTTGCGAATCGAGTCTGTCTTGGCTGCATTCGTGCTCCTCCGGCGCTTTCGGGTGCCGGACGCCTCGGTTTCTGCCACCGAGAGAGTGGCAGCCTTTGAGGTTGAGGCGCTCTTGGAAGCGGCGACCGTGGCGGCCTTGTACTTGCGCGATTGTGCGACCGAGAGCGAGGTGGTCATCCGCGACATGGTGTAGCCGACACGGCCGAGGAGGGCGAGGGAGAACGGCTCACCAACGACGGGCACGTACGCCTCGACACGGGCCGAGTTGTCGACGATCTTGCACTGCGAGGTGTGGTTGCCCATGCGGAGAGTGGCGCTGTCTGTGCCCGAAAAAGAGACGGAAGCGCCCTTTGCCAGCAGCTGCAGCATCTCTCCAGGCAGCCGCATCTGCAGGCATCCACCGCCTCCAGGATCAGGACCAGGCCCGCCCCTGCCGCCCATGGCCACCTTCCATCGCTGTCCACCGCCTCGGTCTCTCTGCCGTCCGGCACCATTCCTTCCGTCCTCCGTCTTCCCGACGCCATTCCTTCCGTCCACCACCTCCCCGCTTGTCCGGCCTCTGCTTCTGGCTCCAGCGCTGCTCCTGGTACGGCTAGTCGACTTGCCCGTCGCCGTCGTCCGCCCGGACACCGCCCGTCGCACGCCGACCATTCCGAGTGTGTCTGTCTGTGAGGGGTATGCCGGGTGTGTATGGGTTGGCCAAGGGTGGCGGTGGCGGGAGGGGATGGGCTGGAGAGAAAAGTGGTGCGGGAGTTGTGGTCGTGCTTGTGGCTGCGGTGGTGGCTGTGGTTGTCGTCAGTGCGGCCGGTGTGTGTGCGGGGGAGAGGCCGAGAATGAGTCGTCTGCTCGCGGAAGGCGACCCTATCCTGCGCGAGCCCGACAGCGCGACCTGGACGGCGCGGCAGGAGGGCAGAGAGAAAGGGCAAGGGTAACAAGCAGTTCAATCAGGTTGACCACTGGCCGCGATGATGGACATCGACCGCAATGGTGGGCGCCGGCCGCGATGACCGGCAGTTGACTGCGATGACGGGCGTCGACCGCGACGATGGGCGCTGGTCGCAGCTTTGCTGGAGCGCTGGAGCTACCGCTCGAGAGCCTCAAAGTCCCAGACGTTGATGGTGCGACAGGAGCCGTTGACCATGAGCGACTGGGAGAACTGGAGCGAGAAGACGTCGCCGGAGAAGCCACCAAAGGTCTGGATGCAGCGATTGGACTTGAGCGACCAGAGACGAAGGGTGCGGTCGTTGGAGCCGGTGACCATGCGCTTGCGATGGACCTGGACGCAGGAAATCGACTCTGTGTGACCGGTCAGCTTCTTGATGCCCTTGCCGGTCGACCACGACCAGAGGCGGACGGTGCGGTCGAACGAGCCCGAGATGACGTTGGAGCCTGGTCCGTCCCAGGCAATGGTGGTGCAGGCGCGGCGGTGCTTGGCAAAGGTGCAGAGCGAGGCGTTCATCCGCCGGTCAAAGGTCCGGCAGATCTTGTCTGTCCCGCCGGTCACAACGTACCGGTCGCGGTCCCACTCGAGACAGAGCACCGAGCCTGTGTGCTCGAGGACTCGCGAGACCTCGAGACCCGGGACGCGGGTGTCGAGGAAGCGGAACGAGCCGTCGTGGCACGCCACCACAAGCTCGCCCCACCCGTTCGACTTGAGGTCGTACACCGGGCAGGTGCCCGAGTTGGACGACATGAGCGTGTGCGAGAGAACCTGTTGTTGCGTGTTGAGGTCCCAAACCCGGACAGTGCGGTCGCCCGAGCAGCTAGCCAGTGTGCCGTCCTTTTGCAGCCGGACCTGGTGGACCGTCCCCTCGTGGCCCTCTAGCACCGCCACGCACGACCGGTCGCCATGAATGTCCCAAATCCGGATCTGGGTGTCCATCGAGCCAGAGGCAAGGACCTTGTCGTCAAAGTTGAGGCAGCAGACGTAGTCAGTGTGGCCCCAGAGGCAGGTAAACACGCACCGGCCCTCGCGCCAGTTTCGCGTCGTCTCCAGCGTCTTGAACTTGTAGAACTCGCGCAGGTTGCGCGACGACTTGCGCGGCAGCGTCTCCCGCCACGGCTGCCGCTGCAGCACCGCCCGCCAGAGCTGGTTCGAGTAATTCCGCATCATCTCGGCAAATCGCTTGCACACCAGCGGCAGCGACCGCAGGTCCGACGTCGGCAAGTACTCGAAGACTTGAACCCAGATCTCACCGAGTGCCTCCACCGGGCCGGTCCTTGCGAGCAGCTCACCAAACGAGGCCGGCTCGGATGCGGCCGGAGCCGGAGCGACCTCGGCCTCTCCGCCTCGGTCTGCAACCTCGCCTGCGGGCACGACTGCCACACCGTCACTCCCCGGACCAGCCTCGCCAGCAACCACTTCTACCCCTGCAGCATTCCCACCTTCCACCTCTGTAGCCGGACTCTGCCTTTGCCCCTGACCATGCTGAGCGAGAGCCGACCCGACAGGGTCGCCGCCGCCACCACCGCCAGCCTGACCACTCTGACCATTCTGGCTGTTGTGCTGGTATGAGGAAGCATCATGGGCAGGCGTATGCGAGCTGTCCATGACTTGCACCTCTCCTGCTCCAGCCTCTGCACTTCCGTCATAGCCCTCGTCCGCACCCAGGTCGGTCGGACCACCATGACCTCCGACAGAGCCCGGGAGGGGTCCGTCGCCCACGGCTTTGCTCTCCTGACTCATGCCCTCCACCGTATGCTTCAAAAGGTGGCGGTGAGTGTGTGTATAATGGTAGACTTGATTGATAGTGTTGCTGGTGGACGGTGTGGCGGTGTGGTGAGATGTGTGGGTATGTGTATGTGTATGGAAGCGGGGGAGGCGGGGGGGGGGGTGGACAGGCGGTCGTGCGCAGAGGCCTCGCCCGTGTTCGGCCGATTGTCTCTCGATGGTAGTTGTTTAGGCAGCTGGCGATGGGGCCAGTGGGCTGGAAGTGATGGAGGGATGGTGAGAGCGATGGCGAGAAGAGAGTGGTACCTGGTACCATGAATGGAGAGGGTGTGTCTGGACTGTACTGTGGCGATGTATGGTGCGTGATACATGCTGGATGATGTGGTGCCCCCCCCCCCCAGCCACCTCGTTCGTTCGT